TGATGGCTTTCAGCACGTTCCCGTAGCAGAAGGCGATGGTGGCGAGGGGGAAGATGAAGCAGAAGACAAAGAGGGAGGCCGTGTAGGCTCGACCCGTGGGACTGGGATCAGCCCAGTCTGGCCCACAGGAGGCGTTGATCCCCTCCAGGGAATACCGGCCCCAGCCCAGGAGAGGGGGCAACGACCACAGCAAACTCCAGGCCCAAATCACCATCACCCCCATCACTCCATGTTCCTTCTGCACCGTCAGCGAGCCCAGGGGCTTGCAGATCACCACATAGCGCTCCACAGCCAGCATGCTGATGGACATGAGGGCAGAGATACCTGGGGACACACGTGCACGCACACGCACACAGACACACACAGAGATTAATACGACCACTACTAATAATCCTGGCGTTTGTCGAGACGTCTAAGTGCTTCACGGGGACACGCTGTCGAGTGTAGTGACTGTGTGTGTGTTTCGGGGGCCGAACGCGGCAGCCGATCGCGCCCGGCGACGTCCCCACAAACAGCCGGGGGTTGAAGCGACCGAATTGTTATTGTTTCGAAAGGATTATTACCCCCAAAAAGTGATCCCCCAATCGCCTGACAAGCGAGTTCCTACTGACTGCCGGGGACACAGGCGCGTGTGTGTGTGCGTGACACTGCGTGAATGTGTATGAGTGTGTGTATGCGAGACTGTGTGTGAGAAACTGTATATGAGTGTGCGCGTGCGAGACTGTGTGAGTGTGTGTGCATGACTGTGTGTGCGTGTGAGACCGTGTGTGTATGAGCGCGTGTGTCTATGACTGTGTGTGTGTGTGTGTGTGAGAGAGACTGTGTGCGTGTGTGACAGCTCAGCTGCTCTGATCTAATCAGGCGAGGGTTAGGCTGTGAGATTGATGGAGAGATTGTCTGATTTACTGGAATCACTGTGTGATTTCAGGGCCTTTGGGGGATTTACACAACAGGAAGGTTGTTGTGTAAGTGTCACGTTGTTGTTATTGTTGTTGTTGATTTCTCCCCCTTACCCACCCACCCCACCCCACCTCCCTCTCCCCTACACTCCCCACCTCAGGGCCAACCGAGTGGTGGGGGCACGAGAGAGTAAGAGAAACTTGCCTAAAGTTTCGCCCTGCCCTGTCCTGCCCTGTCCTGCCCGGGAATCGAACCCGGATCCTCTGGCTTGTTCACTCGCTCGCTTGGCGAACGGTTACACTAGGGGCCTCCGCGATTAAGAGAGAGAGACAGGAGAGAGGAGAGAGATCAGAGAGAGAGGGCTCAGGAGAGAGAGAAAGAGAGGAGAGACAGCGAGAGAAGGAGGAGTGAGAGGGGAGAGAGAGAAGGAGAAGAAGAGAGAGAGAGGAGAGAAAGAGGAGGGAGGAGAGAGTCAGGAGTGAGAGAGAGGAGAGCGAGAGAGACAGGAGAGGGGGGAGAGAGGAGAGCGAGAGGGAGAGAAGAGCGAGAGAGAGGAGAGACAGAGAGGGGGGGAGAGCAAGAGGAGAGAGCGAGAGGAGAGAGGAGAGGCGAGAGAGAGAAGGAGCGAGAGAGGAGAGAAAGAGAAGAGAGAGAAAGAGATGGAGAGAGAAAAGCGAGAGAGGAGAGAGGAGAAGGAGAGCGAGAGAGGAGAGGAGAGAGGAGAGCGAGAGAGGAAGAGAGGAGAGCGTAGAGAGGAGAGGAGAGAGAGGAGAGGAGAGAGGAGAGCGAGGAGAGAGGAGAGTGGGGAGGAGAGAGGAGAGGAGAGAGAGGAGAGAGAAAGGAGAGAGGAGAGAGGAGGAGAGGAGAGAGAGAGGCGAGAGGAGAGCGAGAGGAGAGAGGAGAGCGGGGAGGAGAGTGGGGAGAGCAGAGAGGAGAGTAGAGAGGAGAGGAGAGAGGAGAGCGAGAGAGGAAGAGAGCAGAGTGGAGAGCGGAGAGCGGAGAGGAGAGAGAGGAGAGAGGAGACGAGAGAGGAGAGGAGAGGAGAGAGAGAGGAACGACTCACCGAAGAACGACATGAAGAACCCTTCGGCCACGCAGCTGTGGCGGCCGAGGACGAAGCTGCCGAGGGCGGTGCAGACGGTGCTGAGGACGCCCCCGGTGGCGGCGGTGCCCAGGTCGGCGCTGGCCAGGCTGAGTAGGGCGTAGTTGAGGGGCTGCTGCAGGACCTGGAACCTCAGCACCACCGCGATGGCCAGGCTGTTCAGCACGATGGAGCTCAGGGAGATGACGGCCATGACCAGGGAGAGAGGGGCGCGCACGCTGGGCCCCCAGCCCGGCACAGCCCCCCCACCCCCCAGCCCCGGCCCCTCCGAGAGGTTAGCCGAGCGGTTGTGGGGGTCCATGCGAGAGACGCGCGGGGGAGTGTGAGAGAGAGAGAGAGTGTGTGAGAGAGAGAGAGAAAGAGATGGGGAGAGAGAGAGAGAGAGAGACCGTGAGGGTGTGAGACAGAGAGAGACAGCGAGAGTGTGACAGAGAGAGAAAGAGTGTGAGATAGAGAGATGGAGAGAGAGAGAGAGCGTGTGAGAGAGATGGAGAGAGAAAGAGACAGTGAGGGTGTGAGACAGAGAGAGACAGCGAGAGAGTGTGTGAGAGAGAGAGAGAGAGAGAGAGAGAGAGACGACGGAGAGAGAAACAGTGAGAGAGTGTGAGATGGAGAGAGAGTGAAAGAGAGACAGTGACAGAGACACACAGAGAGAGATGGAGAGAGAGAGTGTGGCAGAGACGGAGAGAGAGTGAGTGTGGGAGAGACAGAGAGAGAGAGAGAGATAGAGACACACACAGATAGCGAGGAAGGAGAGAGAGAGAGAGCGAGAGCAACGGAGAGAGAGTGTCGGAGAGACGGAGAGAGAGAGAGAGAGAGAGATAGAGACACACACAGATAGCGCGGAAGGAGAGAGTGAGAGAGATAGAGACAGAAAGAGAGAGAGAGACTGAGTGAGAGACGGAGAGAAGAGACGGAGAGAGACAGACGGAGAGACAAACGCAAAGAGAGACACACAGCGAGACAGAGAGAAAGAGAGAGACAGAAAGAGAGAGACGGAGAGAGAGACGGAGAGAGTGTGACAGAGACGGACGGAGAGAGAGAGAGAGCGACAGGGCGAGGGAGCTTAATGGGCGAAACACAGCAGAGAGTTTGGGGACAGAGCGAGAGAGAGCGAGCGAGAGAGAGACAGCGAGAGAGAGATATAGAGGGGGAAGAATTGGGTGTGAGAGGGGAGGAGGTACTCAAACCACATGCCTTGCCTTCGCTGGGCGGGTGGGCGCTGGAATTCTTTTCCTCGCGCTCTCTCTCTCTCTCTCTCTCTCTCTCCCTCTCTCCGGTTGCCTTTTACCCCCCCCCCCCCCGGGGGCCTGAAACAGAGAGAGAGAGAGAGAGAGAGCGTATGGTAAACAAGATAGCGAACAAAGCCTCTAATGTGACGTCTTTAACCGTATTATTCTTCAAAACTCTTCCCCCCCCTCCACCGCCCCCACCCAAGAGGAGGGAAAACACACGTCAAAGCCACCGCCTCACATGATAGCAATTCCCCCGCATTTGACACGGACCCTTTTTTATTTTCCCCCTCTCGGTTCCGGGACACCCAGAGGGGTTGTGAGGCGAGGGGTCTAACCCCTGAGCTACAGGGGCTGTGGGGTGAGGGAGGGGCCCCCCCGGCTGTGGGGGAGGGGGGTCTAACCCCTGAGCTACAGGGGCTGTGGGGTGCGAGGGAGGGGTCTAACCCCTGAGCTACAGGGGCTGTGGGGTGTGAGGCGAGGGGTCTAACCCTGAGCTACAGGGGCTGTGGGGTGTGAGGCAGGGGTCTAACCCCTGAGCTACAGGGCTGTGGGGTGTGAGGCGAGGGGTCTAACCCTGAGCTACAGGGGCTGTGGGGTGTGCGAGGGGTCTAACCCCCTGAGCTACAGGGGCTGTGGGGTGTGAGGCGAGGGGTCTGACCCCTGAGCTACAAGGACGTGCTTGACAACATGGGGATCAAAACCCTCTCGCCCCCCACCCTCAGCCCCTGTTAACCCCGCAGCCAAAGCCCTCACTAACTAATTAACGGGGAGGGGGGGGGGGTCCCGGCTGGACAAGCAGCGGGAAAGCTTGGCCAGACAGCGCTCGCTCTCTCTCGCTCTCTCTCGATGGCCGAGCTGTGTGGGTTTAGCTGGTTAGACCCCAGCAGTTACCCCCAACCCACACTCTGGGCTCCCCCCCCCCCCCCGAGCCTCGGCTCTCGCCCAACCTGTGCCTAATACTCTCCGGAATTAGATAAGCAGAGGGCGTCCCTCCAGGGAGAGAGAGAGAGAGAGAGCGTCCCATTCCGACAGTCTATCTCTGGGGTTCCCGGGTGTGGGGGGATGTGGGGAAATCTCAGTCGGGGTTCGGAGACTCTTAAGCCACAGTGACGGGTTTCCGTGTGTGAGACACCCGACCGGTCACGGTGACGGGTTTCCGTGTGCGAGACACCCGGCCGGTCACGGTGACGGGTTTCCGTGTGTGTGTGTGTGTCAGACACACGGCCGGTCACGGTCACGGGTTTCCGTGTGTGTGTGTGTGTCAGACACCCGACCGGTCACGGTGACGGATTTCCGTGTGTGTGTGTCAGACACACGGCCGGTCACTGTGACGGGTTTCCGTGTGTGTGTGTCTCAGACACCCGACCGGTCACGGGTTTCCGTGTGTGCGATGGAAACCCATCTGTTTCTATCTCTCTCTCTCTCCACTCTCTTTCTCTCTCTCTGTGAATCTCTCTAATCTCTGACTCTCTCTCTCTCCGATCTCTCTCTCACTCGCCGCTTTCTCTCTCCCTCTCTCCCTCCACCCTCTCTCTCTCTCTCTCTCTCTCCGTTTTCTCTCTCTCCGCTCTTTCTGTGTCAATCTCTCTGATCTCTGACTCTTTCTCTCCGCTCTCTGCTCTCTATTTCTGTCTCTCTATCTGTCTATCTCTATCTCTGTGTCAAATCTCTCTGATTCTGACTCTCTCTCTGTTGACTCTTTCTCTCTCTCTCTCTCTTTCTTCGCTCTATCTCTCTCCGCTCTCTCTTTCTTTGTTAATCAGGAAACTTGCTGTAATCAGATTCTCTCAGTGATATAATATCAGAACATTTCACTTTTTCTTTGATTTACTGTCATGTGATGGGGAGGTTTACACAGCTGTACACCCCTGCTCCTTCCTCATTCCCCTCTCTCTCTCTCTCTCCCTCCCTCCCTCTCTCTCCCCCCTTCCCCCCTCACTCACAAACTCATACACTCCGACACACCAGCCCACACACACAAACACTCGTGCACACGCGCACACTCGCAAACACACAAGACGCCCTCACACGCACGCACTCACACACACACACACACACCGGCATACACACACTCACATACACACAGACACTCACACCCACAGAGACACAAGCACACCCACACAAACAGACATACTCACACTCAAATACACTCACACACACGCAAACACTCACACACACACACATACACACACACACACACACACACACAGAGATAGACAGACACACGGAGACTGATTGATTTGTGGCATTATTTTAACAAAACAACTATCAGAAAGTTACACAAGAGGAAAGTTCCAGGCTTCACGTCAGCCCGTGTGTGCACTGACACGGGCAATAGATCAAACATATCTGCACAGTAACATAGCACAACATACAAGCAACAGGCCACAGCACACAGCCAACACGCCACAACATACAGCCAACACACAACATACAACCAACACGCCACAATATGCAGCCAACACGCCACAACATGCAGCCAACACGCCACGCAGCCAGCGTGCCCACAACATAAGCCAACACGCCACAACATATAGCCAACACGCCCACAACATAAACCAACATGCCACAACATACAGCCAACACTGCACAATTGACTGGGCGCCCGATCACATCGTCGAGACGTCTCAAAGCGCTTCGCGGGACGCACTGTAAAGTGTAGTGACTGTGTGTTTTGTGGGGGGGTGGGGGGGAGGACAGGGTCACCACAGCTGAGTCTCTCGAATCTCGGAGATGATGTGACTTGCTCGCTGTAGCGCCTGTGATGGGAAACAGAGGAAGGAGGTTATAGTTTGTTCAAATCAATTACCCCCCACCCTCTCCCCCACGCACACCCTTACACACATACATACACCCTCCGCCCCACACACACCCTTACACATACATACACCCTCTCCCCCCACACACACCCTTACACATACATACACCTTCCGCCCCACACACACCCTTACACATACATACACCCTCTCCCCCCCACACACACCCTTACACACATGACCCTTACACACACACACACACTCCCTCTTCCCCCCCCATACACAGACACACACACAAGACTCTCTCTCTCACACACACACCCTCTCTCACGCCCCACTACACACACTCAAACCCCGAGACCCTAACCACCACCCCCCCAACATACATACGCACCCTCTCTCCCCACACAGACCCTAACACACAAGTTCCTTACACCTCCCCCCCACACGCAGGAGAACCCCCCCGTCTCTCTCTGTCTCTCTCACCCCCCCACCCCGTGTCTGTGCTGACCTTTAGCATGCTGGCTGCCTCGTGTCTCTGTTGTGCCATGTCCTGAGACTCGACCAACAGTCCGTCCAATAACTGTGACTTGTACAACTTGCCCACCAGCTCACTCTGCATACTGTCCTTCACGTGGTTCACTAGGAAGTGCATCACTGTCTTGGGCACACTGTAACCAGCGTCATCATCATACAAACAGAATCATTAATCATTAATAATCAGTAATATAATAACCATAATAATTCATAATTCTAATCATGTAATAGGAAGTGCATCACTCTCTTGGGCACACTGTCACCAGCATCGCAATATCACTATAATATAATCATTAATAATCAACAATAAGAATTATTATAATAATAATTAATCATCAATAATATAATAACCGCAATAGTCATAATATAATAGGAAGTGCATCTCTGTAATATAATATAATTATAATAATTAATAATATAATAATATACTAGAAAGTGCATCACTGTAATCCTCACCATAATGTAATAATATTCACAATAATTAATAATCAAATGTAATAATATGATATTATTAAGAATTATAATACGATAATATAATAAGAATAATAATCCACGCATTTGACCCGGCGCCTTCTCACGTCGTCGAGACGTCTCAAAGCGCTTCACAAGATACACTGTCAAGTGTAGTGACTGTGTGTTTTGGGGGCAAAACGTGGCAGCCGATCCTGTGTGTGTGTTAGTGTGAGTTGCTGACCTGTCCTAGATGTGTGTGTGTGAGTGTGAGTGAGTGTGAGTGAGTGTGCAAGTGAGTGTGAGTTGCTGACCTGTCCTGTGTGTGTGTGTGAGTGAGTGTGTAAATGAGTATGAGGTGCTGACCTGTCCTGTTTGTGTGTGAGTGTGTAAGTGAGTGTGAGTTGCTGACCTGTCCTGGATGTGTGTGTGTGAGTGTGTGTGAGTGTGAGTGAGTGTGTAAGTGAGTGTGAGTTGCTGACCTGTCCTGTGTGTGTGAGTGTGAGTGATTGTGTAAGTGAGTGTGAGTTGCTGACCTGTCCTGGATGCTCTTCCTGACGATCAGGAAGTAGGATTTGATGAGCCGTTGGATGACTTCACAGTCTCTCTGCTCCCTCAGGCTCAGCTTCCTGGACACAGGCACCGGCTGGGACAGGAGAAAGTGTGTTAGTGTGTGTGTGTGTGCAGCTTAGTGTACGTGTGTATGTGTATGTGTGTGTGTGTGTGTGTGTGTGTGTGTACAGCTTAGTGCATGTGTGTATATGTGTGTGAGTGTGTGCGTCTATGTACAGGTTAGTGTATGTGTGTTTATGTGTGTGTCTGTCTGTTTGGTGTGTGTGTGTGTGTGTGTACAGGTTAGTGTTTGTGTGTGTGTGTGTGTGTGTGTACGTACAGCTTAGTGTATGTGTGTATATGTGTGTGTGCGTGTGTGTGTATGTAGAGTTTAGTGTGTGTGTATATGTGTGTGTGTGTGTACAGGTTAGTGTGTATGTGTCTGCGTGGGTCCCCGCTGTGTGCAGACAGGCTGACACTGACTGTATCCAGCAGGTTGACCATGTGGCTGTGGCTGGAGGAGGCTGTAGCTGTGGGCTGGGCTGTGCGGCCTCTCTCCTCACTCCTCTCCTCAGCTTTCTCCATCTTCCACTTCCTCCCTCCCTCTGTGGGCAACTCCAACTGAGAGAAAGAGAGAGTGTGTGAGAGAGAAAGAGAGCAGGTGGGACATGGATAGTCAGAGTGAGAGAGACAAAACAGAGAGAGAGACACAGAGAGAGAAGGTAGAATATGGATACAGATAGACAGAGAAAGAGCAGAAGAGAGACAGACAGAGAGTGACAGACAGACAGAGAGAGATAGACAGAGAGAGAGTGAGACAGACAAGACAGAGAGAGACAGAGAGAGACACAGTGAGGAGAGTCAAACAGACAGACAGACACAGCGTCAGAGAGAGAGACAGAAAGAGACACACACAGAGGAGAGACAGAGAGAGAGACAGACAGACAAACAGACATAGCGTCAGTCAGACAGACAGACAGACAAACAGACAGAGTCAGAGAGAGAGAGAGAGAGGAGACAGACAGAGACAGACAAACAGACACAGAGTCAGAGACAGACAAACAGACACAGAGTCAGAGACAGACAGACACAGAGAGAGGAGGGAGTGAGTACCTGGGAGCTGTTGACAGAGGCAGACACCATGGCAGCATCACTGAAGTCCGGGTGTTTGGTGTTGATGTAGGCCAACTCAATACCTACCAGATTATGTACCTACCAAACAATCCCACACACACACAGGGAGGGAGAGAGAGAGAGAGTGTGAGTGAGTGAGTGCGTGCGGTTGATCAGGGCTATGGGGAGAGAGAGAGAGCGGGGGAGTGGGGTTGATCAGGGCTATGGGGAGGGAGAGAGCGGGAGAGTGGGGTTATTCCACACACACACACACACACACACAGAGCACAGTTTACCATCTCGTTGGTGACAGGCAGGCGTTTACGCAGTAATCCTGTCACAACCTCCACTATGGCATCGTGGAGCTTCGGGAATCTGAGCAGCTCCTGTGTGTGAGAGAGAGAGAACGAGTGAGAGAGAGAGAGGCGGAGAGAGAGAGAGAGTGTGTATGTGTGTGAGAGGAGAGGAGGGGAGGGGGCAGGTCGGGGGAGAGGAGGGGAGGGGGGAAAGTCGGGAGGAGAGGAGAGGTGGGGGGCAGGTCGGGGGGAGAGAGGAGGGGGTGAGGTTACCTGTGTGTTGTATGTGGAGCAATGCTGTATAATCCTCTGCAGCTCCTCGTGGACTAACTCCACGCACCTCAAGCTCGGTTCCTCCAACCTCTTGATCTGCCTCTTGACGAGCAGCTCGAAGGAAACTTCCGGAACAAACAGAGCTGGCCTGGGACCCTGCGAGACCAGACAGCGTCAGCTCTCGCTCACTCGCTCGCTCACACACACCACCATTCCCCCCCACCACCCACTCTCGACTCCAAATCAGAAGGTTGTGGGTTTGAGCCCCCATCACACACAGACACACAGACACACACACACACAGACTGGGTCAGACGCGAGGATTATTATTGCCGGTGTGGTGGTGGTGGTTGTTACCGTGGCGTTGCGGATGGCGGTCAGCACGTCGAGGGTGGAGAGGCCTGTCAGGGGGTCGATGGACTCCAGGGTGCGTCCGAACGTCTCGTGGAAGATGTAGCAGATTCGTGCACCCCCACAGCTGGGGGAGAGAGAGAGAGAGAGAGAGAGAGAGAGAGAGAGAGAGAGAGAGACTGCGTGAGGGCGGCCCAAGCAGCTGGGCTGGGCTGGATAGTCAGGGGTTTGACCCCGAGCTGGGCATCGGGATCAGGAGGTGGTGGTGGTGGGGGGGGGGGGGCGGGTGGATAGGAGGGTGACCGAAGGCACTGTTGGTCGAAGAGGAGGGTCTCGAGATACCGTCCCTTCGACTGTGTGAACAGTTGGGATTATAGTAGAAGAATCGTCAGTATTGATCATGTAGTGAATAGATGAATTGAGTAGAATGGATGAAAGAAATAAAAACTGCCACGTGACACACACACACCCACACACACACACACAAACACACACACACCCACACACGCACACACACACATAGACACACACACACAAACACCCACACACAGACGTACACACAAACACACACACACACACACAGTCCCAGTAAAGAGGCACCGAGCGAGGAGGTCACTGGAATGTGACCCATGGCCAGGGAATAGCTGGACCTGGAGGATGGATGGCTTACAAGGGCAGGTGCGCTCCGGGCCGGAGAGACAGGAACCCCGGGATCGCTGGACCAAGAGAATGGGTTGGGAGACAAACTAGCGATTAAGACCGAGGGAAAACTTCAAGTGAGCAGCAGGTCACGGGGACAGAGTTGGAAAGAAGGACTGAAACTTCAGGGACATGGTGTCAGGCGGTTTGGTCGGGCGAGATAAGATGGAATAGGAGTGGTATTGTTCTCTTGCAGAAGATACCACTAGCTGGTGCAAGGAGAAATGACTTGAAGATAGGGAAGGAATGCCTGGGAAAGAGCAGAGAGTGTGAGAAAGCAGTCTTGGGAAAAGAGGGAGAACGCAGGAAAAGGGGTATGCAAAAGGGGAATGAAAATCGACAGCAAAAACTAGTTTGAAGAAGGGCTGCGGGAAGAGACTCAAGAGGAGCCTCTGAGGAGCCTCTGAGGAGAGGAAGGGAACGAAGCTCTACCGAGAGGAAGAAGAGTGCCTTTGAGGGAAAGAGGGCAAGTCCGGCTCTGGCCGGCCGGAGTGGACACAAAGAGGGCAAGTCCGGCTCTGGCCGGCCGGAGTGGACACAAAGAGGGCAAGTCCGGCTCTGGCCGGCCGGAGTGGACCACCAAGAGACATTTGCAGCCAGCAGCTCACCAGAGGCAGTGTTTAACTTTTGTGCGCCAGCCTTACATAAAAACATAACAACTAATTCTTATTAGGCCACTCGGCCCCTCGAGCCTACCCCGCCATTCAATAACTTCACGGCTGATCTATTCTAACTCCACCGCCCCGCCTTATCCCCTTATCCCTTCATCCCTTTATCCACAAGAAATCTATCTATCTCAGTCTGGAGTCGAAGGACTTGGTCACGGACTTCCTGGCTGCCGGGTAGTATCTCTCCTACTTACTAAAACACGCACCCAACGTACAAACAAAAAACAGTTCAGAGATAATTTAGGCGCATTCCATATATCATGTCTTTTTTTTTAGAATTTTAGTACTGAGTATATCTTAAGTTTAGTAATTTAGTAAGCTTTAGTTATGTATCTTGTTAAGATGGAGCTTCAGTGGTAATTTAAGCACGAGGAGTAATTATAACGTATCAGGAGTAATGTGATGCTTATGTTTGTGTGGCTTTATAATTGCTAATAAAACGTTTTAATAATATCCTTTTGGTGTGGTTTCTGACAAGCGCTTGAGACGTTAAACCTCACTCACTCCCCGTCCGTGGGCGGATGTCAAAGGTCTCCCTGGGCTTCTTGACATCTCACTCCCACCCCTAACACAGGGAGAGAGAGCAGGGACGTGGGGAGAGAGAAGGTAGAAGGTGGAGCGGGAGCGCGGAGAGAGAGAGAGAGAGAGAGCCTGTGGGGAGCGAGAGAGAGAGTGAGAGTGAGGGGAGAGAAGAGAGGAGGGAGAGAGAGCGAGAGAGAGTGAGGGTAGAGAGAGGAGGGCATGGCAGAGAGAGTGAGAGCGAGGGGAGAGAGAGAGTGTGTGGCAGAGAGAGAGAGAGAGAGAGAGAGAGCGAGGGGAAAGAGAGAGACAGCGAGGGGAGAGAGCGATGGCGTGGCAGAGAGAGAGAGCTAGAGACAGTGAGGGGAGAGAGAGAGTGAGAGAGAGGGAAGAGAGAGAGAGAGAGTGCGAGGGGAGAGAGAGAGACAGCGAGGGGAGAGAGCGAGAGCGTGGCAGAGCGAGAGAGAGACAGCGAGGGGAGAGAGCGAGAGCGTGGCAATGAGAGGAGAGAGAGAGACTCACAGCTCAGACGTCTCGATGTTGCGGGCAGTGCCCTCGATGGTGCTACAGTATTCGGTGGCAAACTTGGTGATGATCTGGAGCAGGGTGGCATTGTGGTCTTCAATTGGCTGCCCGTAGCTGCTCAACAGAGACTGGTACTGGGCTGTCAGTACGTTGACTCTGGTCTTCAGCTCAGGCAGGCAGTCTCTGATGTGGTGCATCAGTAATCTGTACAGCGAGAGAGAGAGAGAGAGAGTGTAGAGAGAGAGAGAGAGAGAGAGTGAGAGGGAGACAGAGAGAGAGTAAGAGAGAGAGGCAGTCAGAGACAGAGAGGGAGAGACAGAGTGTCAGAGAGAGAGAGGGGGAGAGAGAGAGTTAGAGAGAGACAGAGAGAGAGTAAGAGAGAGAGGCAGTCAGAGATGGAGAGGGAGAGACAGAGAGTGAGAGAGAGGGAGGGTTAGAGAGAGACAGAGAGAGTAAGGGAGTGAGGAAGTCTGAGACAGAGAGAGGGAGGGAGAAAGAGAGAGAGAGAGGGACACACAGAGAAACAGACAGACGAGAGACACACACACAGAGTCAGAGAGAGAGAGAGAGAGAGAGAGAGAGACACAGTGAGTGAGAGACACACACACAGGTGGAGAGAGCTAACATTTACACAGGCGAGCAGGGTGGCAACGAGAGTGAGAAAGAGAGGAGAGAGAGAGCGAGCGTACATTCACAATGTGCTGCTCTCCCCTATTTCCTCCCCTCTCCCTCCCCCCTCTCTGTCTCCCCCTCACTGACCTGTTGAGGGTGCGTGACAGATACTTGGTCCCATTGCGGGAGGCCAGGGAAGGGTATTTTCTCTGCAGAAAGACCTGCTCATCCTGTACAGCATCTGCAATGCTCTTATTTACATTGATATCGTGCTGACTCCTGTAGGGGGAGAGAGGGGGAGGGGGAGAGAGAGGGAGGGGGAGAGAGGGGGAGAGAGTGGGGGGGAGAGAGATGGGGTGGGAGAGAGAGGGAGGGAGGGAGGGAGGGAGGGAGAGAGGGAGAGAGAGAGAGAGAGAGAGGATTACACAGGTGTATTATTGAGTCCCATAGTGTAGGGGTTAGACCCCTTCGCCTCGTGAGCCAGAGGACTTGGGTTCGATTCCCAGGCGGGACAGGACAGGGCGAAACCTTAGGCAAGTTTCCTTACTCTCCGCGCACACACACTCACATAGACACACACACACAGCTGAGGAGGGTCTTGAAGGAGGCGAGGGAGGGAGGGAGGCGGAGGGACTGTGGGATGGAGTTCCAGAGGGTGGGGGCACAGAGGCTGAAGACCTCTCTCTCTCTCTCCCGCACCCTGACCTGTTGACCACCCCAATGATGCCCAGTTTGACAGGGATGACTCTGCCTGTCAGCACGTCCATGGCATCAGTGCCAGCGTCCATCAGGTCCAGCTTTGTTACCACCGCCAGAGTCCGCCGTCCTGCCAGGGACAGGGAGAGAGGGAGTGAGAGAGAGGGAGAGAGAGAGGGGGCCAGAGAGAGTGAGGGAAAGAGAGGGGGGGGGGGGAGAGGGGGGAGAGAGAGTGAGACAGTGACAAGGACAGAGAGAGAGTGTGAGAGAGTGACGGAGAGAGTGTGAGAGTGAGGGAAAGGGGTAGAGAGAGGGGAAAGAGTGACAGGAAGAGTGTGACAGTGACAATAACAGAGAGATTAAGAGTGTGAGAGTGTGACTGAGAGAGAGGGAGAGTGAGAGAGAGTGCGACTGGGAGAAGGAGAGTGAGAGAGATGGGGAGAGACAATGAGGGCGAGAGTGACTGGGAAAGACGGAGAGTGTAAAGTGAGTGACCAAGGAGAGAGAGAGAGAGAGTGTGAGAGAATGATAGGGAGAGTAAGAGAATGTTAGAGTGCCTGGGAGACAGTGAACGTCTGACGGAGAGAGGGAGAATGATGGAGGAGAGAGTGGCAGGGAGAGGGTGAAAGTGACAAGGAGAGAGAGAGGGAGAGAGTGACAGAGAGGGAGTGAGAGTGACGGAGAGAGTGAGAGAGTGTGAGAGTGACGGAGGGAGTGAGAGAGTGTGAGGGAGTGACGGAGGGAGTCAGAGAGTGTGAGTGACGGAGGGAGTCTGAGAGTGTGAGAGAGTGTGACAGAAGGAGTGAGAGTGTGTGAGAGAGTGACGGAGGGAGTGAGAGAGTGTGAGAGAGTGACGGAGGGAGTGAGAGAGCAGTGCTCACCATCAGGATCCACATCCCGGGCCAGTTTGAGAGCCTCCGACGTGGCCAGGTCGGTGTTGGCTGTCGTCACAGCCAGGATCAGGGAGTTGGGGTTCGTGACGTAAAGCTCCAGCATCTGCCTCACCTGCTGCTCAATGTCCTGGGGTTGGTCCCCGACTGGTACCTGTCGGACATGCTAACCGTCACTCTCACTCCCTCTCCGTCACTCTCACTCTATCCCTCACTCGCTCTCCCTCACTCTCCGTCACTCTCGCTCCCTCTCCGTCACTCTCACTCTATCCCTCACTCGCTCTCCCTCACTCTTGCTCCCTTTCTCCGTCACTCTCTCTTTCTCTGTCTGTGCGCGTTTGTGTGTGTGTGTGTGTAGGGGGGGTGGGGGGAGTAAGAAAACTTGCCTAAGGTTTCGCCCTGTCCTGTCCGGGAATCGAACCTGGGTCCTCTGGCTTGCGAGGCGAGGGGTCTAACCCCTGAGCTACAGGGGCTGTGGGGTGCGAGGGGGGGGGACTAACCCCTGAGCTACAGGGGCTGTGGCTTGCGAGGCAAGTGCTCTAACCACTATTCCCCTGACCCTCTGTGACTCCCTGGTCTCTACCCGCTCTGGCTTTGCTGCTCTTCACCTGTGCTTGAAGTCACCCCTCTCTCCCCCACCCAACCCACCCCACCCACCGGCTTGGTGTCAGGCTCCGCCACTGTCGAGCGCTCTGAGGCACTATCCTGCGTGAGGGGTGCGTGCGGTGTAAATGCAAGTTGGTACCTTGGTGATGCCGGGTAGATCGACGAGTGTCAGGTTTAGCACGTAGGGTGAGTGAATCCTCAGCTGAATGGGCTCTGGGCTGATTCCCTTCAACACCAAGAGACAATCACTCATTCTCACAGACACAGACACAGACACTCACACACTTACTCACAGACACACACTCACACACACACTCATTCTCACAGACCCACACTCACTCTCACAGACACACTCGCAGACAGAAACTCATGCACACACTCATTCTCACAGACTCACACACACACACACACTCAGACACTCTCTCGCAGACAGACACACACAGATTCCCACTCGCGCACACACACACACACACACACACACACACAGACACACTCACCCACCGGCTCGCACTGCCCTGTACTGCGGAGTGGAAAAGATGTCCAACTGGGAGACCACGATGGCAGAGATGCCCAGGATACAAACCACCGTCAGATACACCAGCCGGGACTTGGGGGAGCAGTAAAAGGAGTAATAAAGCCAGGGAACAAAGCTTCCCATCGTCAGGAGAGAGATTCCCGAGTAATCCAGCCTCGGAGAGAGAGAGAGAGAGAGAGAGGGACATTCATAATAATAATCCAGCCCCTCATCACCTCGTTGAGACGTCGCAAAGCTCTTCACGGTCAGGCGTAGTGACTGTGTTCTGCGGGAGAAACACGGCAGCCAGTTGTGTCTCTGTGTGTGTGTGTGTGTGTGCGTCTGTCTGTGCGCTCGCGTGTGTGTCTGTGTTGTGTATCTGTGTGAGCGCGAGTGACAGACTGAGAGTGTGTGAGAGAGAGAGAGAGAATGAGAGAGCGCGAGTGACAGACTGAGAGTGTGTGAGAGAGAGAGAGAGAATGAGAGAGCGCGAGTGACAGACTGAGAGTGTGAGAGAGAGAGAGAGAGAGAGAGAGAGAGCGTGAGTGACAGACTGAGAGTGAGAGGGAGAGAATGAGAGAGTGCGAGTGACAGACTAGAGTGTGAGAGAGAGAGAGAGAGAGAGAGAGAGAATGAGAGATCGTGAGTGACAGACTGAGAGTGTGAGAGAGAGAGAGCGAGAGAGCGCGAGTGACAGACTGAGGGTGAGAGAGAGAGAGAGAGAGAGAGAGAACGAGAGAGCGCGAGTGACAGACTGAGAGTGTGAGAGAGAGAGCGAGAGAGCGCGAGTGACAGACTGAGAGTGAGAGAGAGAGGAGGAGAGAGAGAGAGCGCGAGTGACAGACTGAGTGTGAGAGAGAGAATGAGAGAGCGCGAGTGACAGACTGAGAGGGGGTGGGGGGATAGGGGGAGAATAACTTACTTGGAGAATATGCGAGAGACGGTTTCGGAGTGACAGTAAAAGGTGTGAAAGAGCCACGAGAAGCAGAGGCACAGCACAGCGCCCAGGAAGAACATCCCCACCACCATCTTCTCCTTCACCGGCTCCACAAAGTGGATGTCAGCCCGGAACATGTAGAGGATTCCCAGAATCAGGAATACCAGGAATCCTGCGCGAGAGAGAGAGAGAGAGAGAGAGTGCGTGAGTGACAGAGAGAGAGAGAGAGAGAGTGCGGTGAGTGACAGAGAGAGAGAGAGAGAGAGAGACGTGAGTGACAGAGAGAGAGAGAGAGAGAGAGAGAACGTGAGTGACAGAGAGAGAGAACGCGTGAGAGAAAGAGAGAGTGGGGGAATGGAGGGAGAGAAAGAGCAGAGAGGTGGAGGGAGAGAGAGAGAGAGCGAGGGAGAGCGGGGGAATGGAGAGAGAGAGAGAGAGAGAGCGCGGAGAGGTGGAGGGAGAGAGAGGGAGAGCGGGGGAATGGAGAGAGAGAGAGAGAGAGAGCGCGGAGAGGTGGAGGGAGAGAGAGGGAGAGCGGGGGAATGGAGAGAGAGCGAGTGCGGAGAGATGGAGGCAGAGAGAGAGAGAGAGATCGACGAGAAATGGAGGGAGAGAGCGAGAGGGAATGGAGTGAGCGAGAGAGCGCGGAGAGATGGAGGGAGAGAGAGAGAGAGAGAGAGAGAGGGGGGGAATGGAGAGAGAGAGAGAGAGAGAGAGAGAGGGCGGAGAGATGGAAGGAGGCTTTACAGATGTTCTCTCACCTATCAGGTGTGTCCAGATGTTTCCCGTCTCCGTGTGGAGTCGGAAAATGCTACGGAAGCAGGCTCGGAAAGAGGGCAGCGGAGGGCGGTGTCCGTGCAGGAGAAAATCATTGTCCTTCAGCCAGTCAGGGAGCAATTCATAGGGGATCACTCGCCATCTCCCTACCCACACCTGCGGGGACACACACACACACACACACACACAGAGCAACAGGGATAGACCCCTCCTCGCCTCGCACCCCACAGCCCCTGTAGCTCAGGGGTTAGACCCCTCCCCTCACACCCCACAGCCCCTGTAGCTCAGGGGTCAGACCCCTCCCCTCGCACCCCACAGCCCCTGTAGCTCAGGGGTTAGACCCTCCCCTCACACCCCACAGCCCCTGTAGCTCAGGGGTTAGACCCCTCCCCTCGCACCCCACAGCCCCTGTAGCTCAGGGGTTAGACCCCTCCCCTCACACCCCACAGCCCCTGTAGCTCAGGGGTTAGACCCCTCGCCTCGCAAGCCAGAGGATCCGGGTTCAATTCCCGGGCGGGACAGGACAGGGCGAAGTTTCCATACTCCCCCCCCCCCCCCCCCCCACACACACACAGACCCACAATAATTTGGCCACTTCAACCCACGGCTGTTTGTGGGGAATGTCGCTGGGCGCAATTGGCTGCCGCGTTTGGCCCCCATAGCACACAGTCACTACATTACACTTCACTACAGGCAGACGCACACAGATTTCCCCCCCCCACCCCCCCACCCCCCACACACACACCCCGCCCTCTGTACCTTCTGTAACTGGGAGACTGTGCTCTGTAGTGTGTGACCCGCTCTCCTCCTCAGATCAGAGCTCACTCCCTCCTTCTGCAGCTCCTCTGACCCCCCCTCCAACCCACGTCCTCGCTTCATCTCCATCAGGTGGGCTGAGACCACTGCTGCAGCTGCCTGACACACACACACACATACACACACACGCGCAGACATGGACACAAACACAGACGCACACATACATAGACACACACACATACAGACATGGACAGACACACACACATAGACACACAGATACACATAGACACAAACACACACAGGCATGGACACAAACACAGACAGACACACACACACATACATAGACACACACAGAGACACACACACACAGATACACACACATAGACACAAACACACACACACAGACATGGACACGCACACAGACACACACACACATACATAGACACACACACAGATACACACACACAAACACACACATACATAGACACACACAGAGACACACACACACAGACACGCACATACATAGGCACAGACACACACACATAGATACACACCCACAAAAATAATAATAATAATTAATAGTTCGGTCACTTCAACCCCCCCCTCCCCCCGGCTGTTTGTGGGGACGTCGCCGGGCGCGATCGGCTGCCGCGTTTGGCCCCCAAAACGCACAGTCACTACACTTCACAGTGCGTCCCGTGAAGCACTTTGAGACGTCTCGAAGACGTGATCAGGCGCCGGGTCGAATGTCCTTTGCCTGTATCTATCTGTCTTTCTGTGTGTGTGTGTGTGTGTGTGTCTCTCTCTCTCTCTGTCCACCTGTGTGTCTGTCCGCCTGTCTCTGTGGGTCGCGGGTGTGGGGGGAGGGGGTAGAGAGAGAGGCGCGAATACTGACCGGTCAGTGAGGGGATGGGGAGGTCTCTACCTCCCTCCCACTCATCCTCTCTCTCTCTCTCTCTCTCTTTCCTCCTGTCTTCAATGCTCAGCACCGAGAGACACACACACACACACACACCTGTGATGTAACAATATGGGGGGTTTAGAGACACAGTAAAGCTCTCTCTGCACTGTGCGTCCGTCCACACTCCCAGGTCAGGGTTAAAGTGTAGTGACTGTGTGTTCTGTGTGTGCATAAGTGTCGCGACTGTGTGTTTCGTGTGTGCATGTGTGCGCGTATAAGTGTAGCGACTGCGTGTGTATGTCCGCGTAGACACATACGGTCACTACGCATTACACACACACGCACAGTCACTATGCTCTCGATGTCTTGCCCCAAAAAACAGTCACTAAATTTGACAGTGTGTCCCCCGTGAAGCGCTTTGAGAGGTCTCGATGATGTGATCAGGCGCCGGGATTATTATTATTATTATTGTTATTATTATTGTTGTGATTATTATTATTGTTATTATTACTGTTATTGTTGTCATTAATGTTAATACTGTGGGTTAAGACAAGTGTGGGCGGGAGTTAGCGGCTGATTGACAGGGCTGAGGGCCAATGGGAGCCCGCGGTTTGAGTGGCCTGGAGGTAGCCAATGGGAGCGCGTGGGGCGGGTTTTGGTGAATGATCGACTGGATCGCTGACCAATGGAAGAGGAGAGATTAGAATGGAGGCGGTGGTTGGGTTAGAGGCTGATTGACAGGGATGGGGGCCAATGGGAGGCCGGGACTTTGAATAGAGGCGGCAGTTGGTGACGTCTGAGAGGCGGTCGGTAGGCGGGAACTGGAGGCTGATTGACGGTGCTGAGAGCCAATGGGAGCGCGTGGTTTTGAATAGGTGTGACGGTTGACAGGTGGGCGGGAGGTTGGGGCCGGCGATCGGTGGGCGGGCCCTTTGTGACCTGATTGACGCGGCCGAGGGCCAACGGAGGGCAGGGGTTTGACCGGCGGTGGCGGGGCAGCCAATGGGAGCGCGAGGGGGGGGCGGAGGCGGTGGCTGACCGACGGGGGGGAGAGCCAATGGGGTGGGTGGGCAGAGGCGGTGAGGCCGCCCGCCATGGACACGCTGCTGCCGGTGGTCAACAAACTGCAGGAGATCTTCCACACGGTGGGGGCTGAGCTCATCCACCTGCCCCAGTTCGTGGTGGTGGGCAGCCAGGTCAGTGACCCCCACCCCGACCCTCACACGCGTGTCGCCGCAGCCCCTCGCGCGCAGGCGTGTCGGGCACACGCGTGTCGCCGCGTGTCGGGCACACGCGTGTCGCCGCGTGTCGGGCACACGCGTGTCGCGCACACGCGTGTCGGTCAGCCCCACGCGTGCCGCGTGTCGCCGCGTGTCGGTCGGTCCCTCGCGCACGCGCATGTGCGTCGGTCAAGCCGCGCACAAGCGTGTCGTCGCGTGTCGGCCCGCGTGTCATAGAGACGCTCGCACACGCGTGCGTTGCGTGCGAGCGCGGGTCGGCGTGTCAGAGGCGTGTCTGGCGTTCCCGGGGCGCGCCCGCATTTCAGAGCGCGTTGGCGTGCGCGAGGAGGCGTGGGTTTCGCCAGCGAGAAACGCACAGTCACTACACTCGCCGGCCCGTCCCCGCGAAGCGCTTTGAGGCGTATATATTATTTTTATTATTATGGTTATTGTGATTGCTGTTGTTGTTATATTATTTATTATATTGTTATGTCATAACATTATGTTTTAATATTATTATATCGTTATTATGTTGTTATAATCATTGTTATATTGTTATATTATAATCACTTATTCTTGTATTGTAATTACTATTATGTTGTTATTATATTATATTATCGTTAATGTGTTGTTATAATCATTGTTATATTGTTATGGTATTATATTATTGTTATTATATTGTTATAATCATTGTTACATTGTTATGTTATTACTATATTATTATATTATCGTTATTATGTTATAATCATTGTTACATTGTTAAGTTGTTATTATAATCATTTATTATTGTATTGTAATCGCTGTTACGTTACTGTTACAGAGCAGTGGGAAGAGTTCGGTGTTGGAGAGTATCGTGGGGCGGGATTTCCTCCCGCGGGGGTCCGGGATCGTGACCCGAAGACCCCTGGTGTTACAGCTGGTAAACGTGCCGTGTGCCGAGGAGAGGCGCCGGGCTGCCAGCGGAGATACGGGTAAGCGGTGGGGGGGGGGGGGGGGTGAAGTGACTGTGTGAACGACCGCCGTTGATTAAAGCCGTCGTACAAAATGCACAGTCACTTCACTTCACCGTGAAGCGCTTGGAGGCGTCTCGGTGACTTGATAATGAGAGGGTTATTATTGTTAGTGGTGAAATAATTAATCATTGTTAATAATGATAAACCCCGTCCCCCCATCACCCGCAGCCCTCGCCAGCCCCCACTGGCACCCCCTCACCCTAAACCCCGTCCCCCATCACCCCAGCCCTCGCCAGCCCCCACTGGCTCCCCCTCACCCCCTAAACCCCGTCCCCCCATCTCGCCAGCCCCCACTGGCTCCCCCTCACCCCCTAAACCCCGTCCCCCCATCACCCCAGCCCTCGCCAGCCCCCACTGGCTCCCCCTCACACACTACCCTACAAGAGGGGCACTGTGTAAATCCAAGTTGTTGTTCTTTTGTGTTCTCAGATGATGGACAGACACAGGCGACAACCTCCTCAGGTGTGTTTCTCAGTCACTACATCTCACATACAGTCACTACTCCTCACACACTGTCACTTCGCCTCACGCACAGTGACTACACCTCACATACAGTCACTAAACCACACTCACAGTCATTACACCCCGATAAAATCGGTCGCTCGCTCCACGACTGTTTGTGGGAACGTCGCTGGTCACAATTGGCTGCCACATATCGCCCACAAAACACACAGTCTCTACGCTTTACAGTGTGTCCTATGAAGCGCTTTGAGATGTCTCGACGATGTGATAAGGCGCCGGGTCAACTGCAAAGATTATTACTATTGTTATTATTATTCTCTGGGCTCCTTTTAATACTGTTTTGCTGTTAACAGGCAGCTTCGCTGAAGAATGGGGAACTTTTATACACTGTAAAACCAAGGTAATGTGAGGGGAGGGGGAGAGGGAAGAGGGGAGGGGGAGAGGCGAGGGGGAAGAGGGGAAGGGGAGGTTGGAGGGGGGAGAGGTGACGGAGCAATTGACGGACAATGATTTCTAATCTTTGTCCCCAGATATTCACTGATTTCAATGACATTCGTCAAGAGATTGAGAATGAGACCCAGAGAATCACTGGTGCTAATAAGGTACGTCTCTCTCTCTCTCTCTCTCTCTCTCTCTCTCTCTCTGTGCCAGGCTGTGTGTGACTGTGAGGATTATTATTATTATGTGAGACTGACTGTCTCTCTCTCTCTGATTGTCTGTCTTGATTGTCTCTTGGTGTTGAAGGGAATCAGCCCAGAGCCCATTCAGCTGAGGATTCACTCACCCTACGTGCTAAACCTGACACTCGTCGATCTACCCGGCATCACCAAGGTACCAACTTGCATTTACACCGCACGCACCCCTCACGCAGGATAGTGCCTCAGAGCGCTCGACAGTGGCGGAGCCTGACACCAAGCCGGTGGGTGGGGTGGGTTGGGTGGGGGAGAGAGGGGTGACTTCAAGCACAGGTGAAGAGCAGCAAAGCCAGAGCGGGTAGAGACCAGGGGTCACAGAGGGTCAGGGGAATAGTGGTTAGAGCACTTGCTCGCAAGCCACAGCCCTGTAGCTCAGGGGTTAGTCCCCCCCCTCGCACCCCACAGCCCCTGTAGCTCAGGGGTTAGACCCCTCGCCTCGCAAGCCAGAGGACCCAGGTTCGATTCCCGGACAGGACAGGGCGAAACCTTAGGCAAGTTTCCTTACTCCCCCCACCCCCTACACACACACACACACAAACGCGCACAGACAGAGAAAGAGAGAGTGACGGAGAAAGGGAGCAAGAGTGAGGGAGAGCGAGTGAGGGTGAGAGTGACGGAGAGGGAGCGAGAGTGACGGAGAGTGAGGGAGAGCGAGTGAGGGATAGAGTGAGAGTGACGGAGAGGGAGTGAGAGTGACGGTTAGCATGTCCGACAGGTACCAGTCGGGGACCAACCCCAGGACATTGAGCAGCAGGTGAGGCAGATGCTGGAGCTTTACGTCACGAACCCCAACTCCCTGATCCTGGCTGTGACGACAGCCAACACCGACCTGGCCACGTCGGAGGCTCTCAAACTGGCCCGGGATGTGGATCCTGATGGTGAGCACTGCTCTCTCACTCCCTCCGTCACTCTCTCACACTCTCTCACTCCCTCCGTCACTCTCTCACACTCACTCCTTCTGTCACACTCTCTCACACTCTCAGACACCCTCCGTCACTCACACTCTCTGACTCCCTCCGTCACTCCCTCACACTCTCTCACTCCCTCCGTCACTCTCACACTCTCTCACTCTCTCCGTCACTCTCACTCCCTCTCTGTCACTCTCTCCCTCTCTCTCTCCTTGTCACTTTCACCCTCTCCCTGCCACTCTCTCCTCCATCATTCTCCTCTCTCCGTCAGACGTTCACTGTCTCCCAGGCACTCTCACATTCTCTTACTCTCCCTATCATTCTCTCACACTCTCTCTCTCTCTCTCCTTGGTCACTCACTTTACACTCTCCGTCTTTCCCAGTCACTCTCGCCCTCATTGTCTCTCCCCATCTCTCTCACTCTCCTTCTCCCAGTCGCACTCTCTCTCACTCTCCCTCTCTCAGTCACACTCTCACACTCTTAATCTCTCTGTTATTGTCACTGTCACACTCTTCCTGTCACTCTTTCCCCTCTCTCTACCCTTTCCCTCACTCTCACTCTCTCTCCGTCACTCTCTCACACTCTCTCTCTGTCCTTGTCACTGTCTCACTCTCTCTCCCCCTCTCCCCCCCCCTCTCTTTCCCTCACTCTCTCTGGCCCCCTCTCTCTCTCCCTCTCTCTCACTCCCTCTCTCCCTGTCCCTGGCAGGACGGCGGACTCTGGCGGTGGTAACAAAGCTGGACCTGATGGACGCTGGCACTGATGCCATGGACGTGCTGACAGGCAGAGTCATCCCTGTCAAACTGGGCATCATTGGGGTGGTCAACAGGTCAGGGTGCGGGAGAGAGAGAGAGAGGTCTTCAGCCTCTGTGCCCCACCCTCTGGAACTCCATCCCACAGTCCCTCCGCCTCCCTCCCTCCCTCGCCTCCTTCAAGACCCTCCTCAGCTGTGTGTGTGTGTCTATGTGAGTGTGTGTGCGCGAGAGTAAGGAAACTTGCCTAAGGTTTCGCCCTGTCCTGTCCCGCCTGGGAATCGAACCCAAGTCCTCTGGCTCACGAGGCGAAGGGGTCTAACCCCTACACTATGGGACTCAATAATACACCTGTGTAATCCTCTCTCTCTCTCTCTCTCTCCCTCTCTCCTCCCTCCCTCCCTCCCTCCCTCCCTCTCTCTCCCACCCCATCTCTCTCCCCCCCACTCTCTCCCCCTCTCTCCCCCTCCCTCTCTCTCCCCTCCCCCTCTCTCCCCTACAGGAGTCAGCACGATATCAATGTAAATAAGAGCATTGCAGATGCTGTACAGGATGAGCAGGTCTTTCTGCAGAGAAAATACCCTTCCCTGGCCTCCCGCAATGGGACCAAGTATCTGTCACGCACCCTCAACAGGTCAGTGAGGGGGAGACAGAGAGGGGGGAGGGAGAGGGGAGGAAATAGGGGAGAGCAGCACATTGTGAATGTACGCTCGCTCTCTCTCTCCTCTCTTTCTCACTCTCGTTGCCACCCTGCTCGCCTGTGTAAATGTTAGCTCTCTCCACCTGTGTGTGTGTCTCTCACTCACTGTGTCTCTCTCTCTCTCTCTCTCTCTCTCTCTGACTCTGTGTGTGTGTCTCTCGTCTGTCTGTTTCTCTGTGTGTCCCTCTCTCTCTCTCTTTCTCCCTCCTCTCTCTGTCTCAGACTTCCTCACTCCCTTACTCTCTCTGTCTGTCTCTAACCCTCCCTCTCTCTCTCTCTCTGTCTCTCCCTCTCCATCTCTGACTGCCTCTCTCTCTTACTCTCTCTCTGTCTCTCTCTAACTCTCTCTCTCCCCTCTCTCTCTCTGACACTCTGTCTCTCCCTCTCTGTCTCTGACTGCCTCTCTCTCTTACTCTCTCTCTGTCTCCCTCTCACTCTCTCTCTCTCTCTCTCTCTAACACTCTCTCTCTCTCTCTCTCGCTGTACAGATTACTGATGCACCACATCAGAGACTGCCTGCCTGAGCTGAAGACCAGAGTCAACGTACTGACAGCCCAGTACCAGTCTCTGTTGAGCAGCTACGGGCAGCCAATTGAAGACCACAATGCCACCCTGCTCCAGATCATCACCAAGTTTGCCACCGAATACTGTAGCACCATCGAGGGCACTGCCCGCAACATCGAGACGTCTGAGCTGTGAGTCTCTCTCTCTCCTCTCATTGCCACGCTCTCGCTCTCTCCCCTCGCTGTCTCTCTCTCGCTCTGCCACGCTCTCGCTCTCTCCCCTCGCTGTCTCTCTCTCTCCCCTCGCACTCTCTCTCTCTCTCTTCCCTCTCTCTCACTCTCTCTCTCTCCCCTCACTGTCTCTAGCTCTCTCTCTCTGCCACGCCATCGCTCTCTCCCCTCGCTGTCTCTCTCTTTCCCCTCGCTCTCTCTCTCTCTCTCTGCCACGCACTCTCTCTCTCCCCTCGCTCTCACTCTCTCTGCCATGCCCTCCTCTCTCTACCCTCACTCTCTCTCGCTCTCTCTCCCTCCTCTCTTCTCTCCCCTCACTCTCACTCTCTCTCTCGCTCTCCCACAGGCTCTCTCTCTCTCTCTCTCTCTCCGCGCTCCCGCTCCACCTTCTACCTTCTCTCTCCCCACGTCCCTGCTCTCTCTCCCTGTGTTAGGGGTGGGAGTGAGATGTCAAGAAGCCCAGGGAGACCTTTGACATCCGCCCACGGACGGGGAGTGAGTGAGGTTTAACGTCTCAAGCGCTTATCAGAAACCACACCAAAAGGATATTATTAAAACGTTTTATTAGCAATTATAAAGCCACACAAACATAAGCATCACATTACTCCTGATACGTTATAATTACTCCTCGTGCTTAAATTACCACTGAAGCTCCATCTTAACAAGATACATAACTAAAGCTTACTAAATTACTAAACTTAAGATATACTCAGTACTAAAATTCTAAAAAAAAAGACATGATATATGGAATGCGCCTAAATTATCTCTGAACTGTTTTTTGTTTGTATGTTGGGTGCGTGTTTTAGTAAGTAGGAGAGATACTACCCGGCAGCCAGGAAGTCCGTGACCAAGTCCTTCGACTCCAGACTGAGATAGATAGATTTCTTGTGGATAAAGGGATAAGGGGATAAGGCGGGGCGGTGGAGTTAGAATAGATCAGCCGTGAAGTTATTGAATGGCGGGGCAGGCTCGAGGGGCCGAGTGGCCTAATAAGAATTAGTTGTTATGTTTTTATGTAAGGCTGGCGCACAAAAGTTAAACACTGCCTCTGGTGAGCTGCTGGCTGCAAATGTCTCTTGGTGGTCCACTCCGGCCGGCCAGAGCCGGACTTGCCCTCTTTGTGTCCACTCCGGCCGGCCAGAGCCGGACTTGCCCTCTTTCCCTCAAAGGCACTCTTCTTCCTCTCAGTAGAGCTTCGTTCCCTTCCTCCCCTCAGAGGCTCCTCAGAGGCTCCTCTTGAGTCTCTTCCCGCAGCCCTTCTTCAAACTAGTTTTTGCTGTCGATTTTCATTCCCCTTTTGCATACCCCTTTTCCTGCGTTCTCCCTCTTTCCCAAGACTGCTTTCTCACACTCTCTGCTCTTTCCCAGGCATTCCTTCCCTATCTTCAAGTCATTTCTCCTTGCACCAGCTAGTGGTATCTTCTGCAAGA